TTGGGCGTCTGTCCTTTTTTTGACGCTGAATATCCAACACCAGTTCAGTAGGCATGTTCAACATAAGAGCATTCATCTGAGCAGTGGATTGTTGTTTTGCATTTTCTCCCCGCACGGACCAAAATCCCCAAAAAAAGTACTTACTGGACGTCAAGATATTGCAGACGTGATTTCTGCAATGGCATGCAGTTTTGTGAGCGCGTGTACGACACGAATGTAAAAAATTCCATGAAGACTGCCCTCGTTGCAACGAGAACTGGTTCTCGAACCACAGCCTACCCTTCAGATAATATTTTCGACCAGACGGGTTGCTCTAGTCTCACCCACTGGTCATCTGTGCGAGAAAAACTGCCCAGTTTTGCTGAAAACCCTGTAATCATCGATGAGACGATTACCTTTTTTTTCAAAAAGAGGGCTCTCCCATCACTTCTTCCACATAGGCTTGTCATGAGCTCCTCTAAACTTCGAACTTGCACAGTTGCGGGAACCTCAGGTACACCGCTGTTCAGGAGTGGACCTAGGATTCCACGGGCGTGGTTCACTAGAAGAGAAAACGACTTTTTCGCGTTTCAAAGCGCCAGTTATTTTTCGCTGCAGGAACCTTAGGTCCACTCATGGTCTGAGGTTCCCGCAGCGAAAAATGTTTCGCGCTGTCAAACGCGAAAAAGTTGCTTTCTGTCCTAGTGAATTACACCCTTGTATTAATTTAATTATTTGGGAGTAGGAAGAAGCAAAATTTCTCATTTCAGTTTGAAAAATGGAGGGATCAATAGATTGCTCTTTTTGGGCTCCTTTTATTGCATTGATGCGAGTCATATGCATGAATTCCCACGAATCGTCGTTGTATGAAAAGATTTTCTGTGAAATGGTGGCAATAACAATTCTGTCGTGGGTGCTGTTATGAGGCTGTAAAATAACATACATGATAATAATATTTTATTACGTTTAATCGACCCTTTTATGACGTTCCATAAAAGTGGGTTGTGGGGGATTTTAATACTAACACACTCAGTGGAAACGTGCATCGAACTCATTACAATTTTTCAAAGCAAAACATAACTAGGGTAACATTGAATTTCTTAGGGTGTACAATTCTATACATTCTCTCCTCTCTTCAGTTGCTTTTCGTGTCCAACTCCTAAATCCCTTCTGTTTCAGTGACTGTCTGCTTCATATTTTTCCTAGCATTGGATGCTTTTTTAGATTCTACAACTCCAGCATTCTCTTTCGTTGTGACAGGTGAGGGAGGAAGCGCGAAGTTGTCCTCTTTCTTGTAGATCTCTCACACTGCCCTATTCTAGGCAATATTGCAGTCTCTATTCTGTACGGTGATTTATGGTTCTGCCTGCTTCTGGTGCAATGGTTCCTTTTATTTTTTCTACCTGTGCTTGCTGTTTTCTTCTCGTTATTCGGTCTTTCCTTTAAGTTTTACTATCACTTGGTTTTTTTTTCCTTCACTTTTCCTTTCTAAATCTTCCGTACTTCCCGCTCAGTTAACCGTATCTTTTGCATCCTCACATCTTGAGAAATGTGTAAGTGGATAGGTTTTCTACGCCGTTCTTTGTGAACCTTTTTCTTCGGTGACATTTTTGCTTCATTTCAACTTTGCTTTTCTACTTTTCCCTATTTCTTGTTCTATGCGAAAATGCAACCGTTGCCCGCATTTTCTGCAGTATTTGGACCCCTCATCCTTCATCACTGTCCATTTTGACCTCAACATTCATGGCTGGTGGGTGGCTCATCGCATCGCATGAACATATCAAAGTGGAGTACTGGCATAACTCAATACTACATACACTCAACACTCATAACTCACTATTACACTCTAGTGATCTTCGCTCGTTTGTTTTTTTTTCTTTTCCATCACTAACATTTATCGTTTTTCTATATCAGGACGCATAGAAACTTACTTCTGCATCTTTGGCCGTCTCTCACTCATTACTTTTAAGCGTGTTTTTATGTCTGTTTTTTGCCTGGGAAGTTTCACTTTTCTCACTTTCGGCATATCCCATCTTTTCTCAGACGCAACCCCTCATTGTATTCTGCAGACATCTGCCCACTAATTCCCGTTACCTGTTTCAAGTTTTCACGATATATGTTTCTAAATCTCCACGTTTATTAGTATTTCGTATTTCTAATTTTTCTTGTGAGGCCCCTTTAAAACCTCCTAATACTTTCCTGTTTCAAAGGAGTTTTTTTTTTTCATTAGCATTATTGCCACCGTTACGAGCAATTGCACGCGAGAAAAAAATTAGCTTCCGCAAAGATTTTGTAGCAAGTCACCTTGATACGTAGTGTCATGCTCGTTATCAGTTGTACATGTCATATCATGTACAGTCCATATCTCAGTCTGATTAGGCGTGCCTATGGATTCCGTGGTATAGTACAGTTTATAGACACGCCTATCAACTCGAGATAGTGGACTGTATATAGACACGTGCACATTGGCTTGATCACGAAAAAACATTCAACAGTATGCAAAATGTTCTTTCCTGCATTCCGTTGACAAGAAGAGTTTTGTGTGCGGTGCCGAACAAATTAGCTGTTTTGTCCAGGTTTCTGGAAAACAAATAATTGGAGATTCTTGTACTGCTGACGTCTGCAATGTTCATATAAACTAAGTATATTACCTCGTTGGGTATTGAAGCCTTTTTCCGGGCCAACATGAATGGAGGGCAAACAATTACCGATACGTGTAAAAGTACTTACGTTATGAAAAAAAAACAACGTTAGCATTAAAGTCCTATGACGGTTCGCAGGTATAATGAAGAGGAAGAAGTACGCTGAAGGAAGCTGTGCTTGAGTCTTTCCTCCATCCTATGGGGTGTTTGTCCCATAAAGTCCGTCTCCTATGATGTGCACGCTAAGGTGTGACAGCCAACTGGTGCCTAATAAGTTTGTTGTCAGTTATCTGGGAGGGCTCCCTTTGGTATCATGGGGGACGAATGCACATCTTTGAGTGCACTGAAGCTATTCTGCGCTAGCTATTATTTCTGCTGATCTTCTTGATACCGTTAAATTTTTGAACGAATTATCTCGCTCTTGCCCGAATGACGGCTTCTGTTGCTGTTATTTATGGCCTCCGAAAGTCAGAATATAATATCTGTAAACTTGAGCTAAAATCTTGGATCAAAGTAAACAGATGAGAAGGGAGAATGGAGAAATGTGGAGTGACAAGTAGAAAAATTATGAAATGATTATGGGCCAGAAATACCGGTGACCTGCTTGTAGAAAAAAATTAGGTGATTATGTTTTGATGTATTGTGGATAGTTTATGCGATCTGTTGATATGGTTCTGTAATTCCGCAAAAGTTCAGGTCGCCCTTTCATTCCTGGATTTCCTTCATACATAGCAGTGAAAAATTCTCGTCATTGTTCCGCAATGTTAAGGAGCATTCTTCTTGTTAGAGTGCCATGGCATATGTTCCTATGAACACTCGCTTTTTAGTTAG